AATTATTAACTTATTTTATTTTAAAATTTCTTTATTTTATATTAATTTTATATTGCTGTTATTATAAAAATTTATATAATTTCAACAAATTATTTGAAAATGCATGTGGCAGACAATTTGGGTCATGAGATGCCAGGTTGAATAGTTTTGGCTTCATTGTGGAGATTGAGATGACCGAAAAGACTTGCATTATGTGTGAAAGATAAGACAAAATTAAGGCCCCACAATATTATTTACTCCATCTTTCGAGTGATAAGCCTGCTACATTGGTCCGTTTCCTTATTTCCCCTCACGAGTCGTTATGGCCTATAGCGCCGAAAATTCGCTATAGGCCACAACGACTTGTTTTCTTTTTTTTTTTTTCCTTTTCTTTTCAAATTTTAAAATATTAATTTAATAAAGAAAATACAGAAAAAATAAATATATAAATATAGATTTATATAAAATTCATAAAATAAATTAAAAAGTGGAAAAAATAAATTAAATAAATAATTAAAAGTTTTTGTTATTTTTTGTTTTTTTTTTTAAATTTTTAACTTAATTTGTTTTAAAATTTCTATATTTTATATTAGCAAATAAATATTAATTCTTTTATTTTTGTATTATCATATAAATTTTAATTACTATTTATAAAATTATTTTTCCATTAATTTCTTTATTTTATAAATATATATATATACTCGCTATAGGCCATAGCGCCACTTTTCTTGACGTTTTTATTTTTTTAAATTATGAACTGTATTATTTTTTTTATTCTTTTATTTTTACATTATCATATAAATTTTAATTACTATTTTATAAATTTATTTTTTCATTAATTTCTTTATTTAATATATTTTTTGATTTTTTTTAAAAAAATTAAAATATGGGGCGCTATGGGCTATAACGACTTCATTCAAGCTGTAGGTGTCGCTATGGGCTGCAACAACTTCGTCAATATGGCTTTCATGGCTTTTCTGGAGTTATAAAAAGGCCACGTGGCATGGGTGTCGCTATGGCCCATAGCGACACCGTTGTAAACAGCCCCAAAGGCGTAAATACTTTTAATAGAGCCCCATTTATATAAATAAGTTGGTCAACGACCCCACTTTGGTGAAAAAGCCAATATGGTGTCATAAATAGATGCCCAATGTACTATAAGCTTTAAAAAAAACGGAAAGATTTTATTAATGAAGGTGGAATATCATCAAAAGACATGGCCAGTCAAATCCGAGTAATATTCCTGTTATTGCGCATCCAGATTAGCAGAAAAAGATAAATAATAATGCAGCTACTATTGCACATCCCACTCATAGAGATGGTAATAGGGCGCGGTAGCTCACTTATGGGTTTCATGATATTTGTACTTATTGAATATATTATTTTTTCCTTGTCTATATGCTTGTTAGGTATTGGTTATATTTGTACTGTACGTGTCAAAAAAAAATTTGTAAAAAAAATATACAATATT